ACCTTATTGCTATATTTAGTTTTGCCTTAAGAACAGATATTTGTGCCCTGGCCGGTATGGCTCAGGAGGCTGGAATGTTGTCTGATTTGTGCACCAAACAGTGTCGGGTTCAATTCTGGGTCAGGGCACATACCCAGGTTGTGGGTTTGATTCATGGGAGGCAGCCAATCTCTCACATCAATGTTTCTTTCTCTCTTTCCTTTCCTTGGTCAAAAAAGCACAGGTATTTGCACTTTCAGTGTCTGAGTGGGCACAGGTGCTGCACACCTGCATCATCTCCTGGCTTCTGGGACACTAGGATAGCCTGATTCTGCCCCCCACCCCCGCCGGGCAGCTAGGTCATGAACCATTTCAGACTTTTTGCTCTCTTAAGAAGTGTGGGCTTTCTCACTGCAAACAACTGGAACATGAACATTGAAGTGATGACTGACATGGTGGAGTGCATCACTAAGGTCACTCACCTGTTAGGAATCGGGGGTCAGTGACCCAGTCAACAGCATACACTGCATATTCGCTTAAGTATCTGCTTTGTAAGTAGCCATTATAGGTACAGAATATGAATGCAATTACACATGAGTACAATGGTGTAGGCTTCCCTCCTCGGATCAGAAATGGGAAAATCAAGGACCTGAGAAAACAAGAAACAGAAACAAGTTAAAAAGAACAATATAGTATTTCTACAATTCTATTTTAAGTGTCTTGGGGTTTCAATCTCACTTCCTTGTACAAAAATTATTCTCATAACACATACTGATTTACTCTCTCTGTTAAAGGCACAACTTATAGATAAAAAATTAACCGTCTTTCAATAATGTACACCATAGTGCACAAACTCAGGATTCTCATTATAAAGAAAGTGAAACCAATACAGAGTTACAGAAAACCAAGGGTTTCAAGAGGCTCTCAAAACCTCCACTATCTGAAAACCCATAGCTCTAGTCTGAGCATTTTTATCACCCATCACCATCACCATCACAAATGGCTCACTCTCATTTACTAAGCACCATCAGCTATAAGGCCTCCCAGCTACCTGCATAGCAGAGACTTTATACACATTCCACAGAAGATGAGATCAAGACTTGGAGTGATTAAATAATCTGTTCCAGATCACAGGGCTAGTGACTGGCCAAGCGTGTCAATCTGGGTAATTCAAAGATCGTGTTTTTCTGTTATACCATGCTGGCTTAGGTGCATTCTAAGTTTAAAGAGAGAGAGAGAGAATAAGGACAAGAAATTACAAACTTATGAAGAAAAGAGGATGCATGTTTCAAAATTATAGATGAATAAAGTGTTAAAGAAGCGACTCTGAGGAAACATTCTGCAAAGGGGGTAGTGTTTTCCTCCAGGACGTGAGAATCATGTATAGGGCGGCTAACGTTTGATAGTTCTCCCAATTCAGTTTCAAGTGCAGGGCTGAATTCTGAATGCAGCAAACACTGGCTGGCACCTTGTAAAGGTGAAACCCAAACCTCTGTTTTTCCCTCACACCCCTTTCCTCCTCTATCACTCATGTCCTGTGCTGTGTAGTAACCTGAGTCTAGATTTGGTGTCAGCATTACCACCTGTTTTTGTACAGCCTGTGAGCTAAGAATGACTTTTACATTTTTAAGTAGTAGGGAGAAAAATCAAAAGAATATTTTATGACACATGAAATTCAAGTTTCAGTGTCCGTAAATAAAGTGGTATTGGAACAGGCCTGGTCACCTGTTTACATACTTTCTGTGGCTGCTCTGCAGTTACACTTGCAGACTTGAGTGGCTGTGATAGAGCCTGTTTCAGCCCTCTGCATGGCTGCTTGGTGCACTGTAAATTACCATGACACAGTGTTTCCAGTGCTACGGGTATCCTTGTTTGACCCATTTATTTTAGTATCAGCGATATCCTTGCCAAGACAAGTGAAGTGTTCATGCTTTGAAGGCACAGTGGAATGCGGATATTACTAGAGGTAGCGAAGCAATCTTTGTTATGCAATGACATGCCAGTTTTGCCAAAAGCATAGAGGTTGGCACTACCAGACTACGCGCTCATCAGAGTATCCCCAACTCACAGGAAAGATCAGAAAAATGAAGAAAATGTAAAACAGAATCTCATCACAGACTTTCTTTACAAAAGAAATGAAAATGAGGCCACAACCACAGGAAGTTCAAGTTAGGCAAGCAAGTGAAGCCATGCCCTCATGGGGAATTAATCAGCTGCAGCAGCAGCCAAAGGAACGTGCCGGACAATACAAACTTGCAGGACTAGCCTTTCCTTGAGAGCAGCTGCTTGAGGAGTCGGGACACCAGGAGCAATGCCAATAGTCAGTTAAAAAACAAGGCACAAGATCGAGTGAGCGGTCTGCCTTGGCTCTTGTTGGGTCCATCGATGTCACTGATACTGCTCAGTTGTTTATTTTTTTCTTTTTAAAAAAATTTTTTTAAATTAAATCTTCAGTTGTTTATTTAAGAAATCAATGCCAAGGCTGACCTGACTGAGGAACAAGGCTCTTAAAATAGTCTGCGTGGAACAATTGGAAACAAGAGTATTTCCAAAGAAGTTGAGAAAACATGAATTCTATACAACCCAAAGTAGAATATACTGTTACAGCTGACGATAGTAAAAATGTGTGGAACAGAAAAATGGACCCATTACAAATTTATAAAACTTGTGAAGATGTGTTTAATGCTACTCCCTGTATCATCAGGTACTTTCCAGAACAATCTATGTCATGTGATTGAACCAATAGGGTCAACAGAGAATTGTACATTCTCTTCAGGGCTTATACAGAAAAATTGCCCTCACTACTATTGAGTTTTGAAGGGCTTTGGAAATTAACTTTTGCTGCAGATCTGATAATGTTTCTTAGTGAATTCAATGCTAAACTATAAGACAAAACATCACTTAAGTGCAAAACTTACACTGTGTTAAAGGCATTTCAATGCTACTTGACATTGTTTGAATGGCAAGTCATGTCAAACTGCTTTATATACTTTTTATGCTGTTAAAGTTAAAAGAAGAGTGATGTCTCCATTCCTATAGAAATTTGCAGTGGATATAATTTCTAGAATCAAACTAGCTTTTTGAACCTTGATTTCTATATTTCAAAAATCATTTAATTGTGTAATTGAGTTGTCACCTAATATTCAATTGGAAAATACTAATCTACAAAGTAATGACACACTAAAAGGCAAATACCGAGAAAATCTAATAGAATTTGATAAATGGCTCTCAAGGAATGAACATGCTCAATTAAATTCATAAACTCATGGACTGATATAAATATTTGGCAATGCCTGTGTGGAAAGACATTGTCTAAGATAAAATTTCACTGCAGATCAGCACTAAGAGGTGAACACTTACAACAGACTTTGGGAATAGGAAATACCAACGCTGAAGCCCAAGGATGTGAAATGTCATCATCCACCAAAGGAATAATTCCATCCTTCTCATTACAGCTGCATGACAAAAACTGCACTGAGATATTGTTATATTTTAAATTGTGTCAATAAAATTTCTGTGAAAATTTGTTTTCTCCTCTATTATAAATGCCTACACAATACCCCCTATTTTGTCTGTTGGCCCACAAAGTTTCAATATACACTATTTGGCCCCTTTCTAAAAAAAAGTTGTCAATCCTTAGTCTAGATCAGGGGTCCTCAAACTTTTTAAACAGGGGGCCAGTTTACTGTCCCTCAGACCATTGGAGGGCCGGACTATAGTTTAAAAAAAACTATGAACAAATTCCTATGCACACTGCATATACCTTATTTTGCAGTAAAAAAACCAAAACGGGAACAAATACAATATTGGTATTTGCATGTGAACCGCGGGCCGTAGTTTGAGAACCCCTGGTCTAGATTAACACATTGCGGACCAATAGTTTTATTGCTAGCTTTATACAGTGGCCAGATAAGTTTCTATTGAATGAGTACAAAAAACATTTTACATAAATATTAAAGGCATGCTTTAAAATTAAATAACCATTGCATTTTGAAGTTATTTATTACATGTCCTTACAAGCTAATATCTTTTTAAAATATGATCTTTGTAAAACACTGTATAATATGAAGCGAGAATTCTCATGATCTGTCCAATGTGTTAAAACAGTTATAGTCTGGAAACATCACTTAGACTTCCTTAGAAAAATGTTCTTGCTCAAGACCCTGCACTTGGCTTTCAGGCAGATGCTGCAGTCTGGGACATTTGTGCTTGAGGTGGAGACCATGCATCTATGTCCTCAGTTATGCAGAGTCACACTGACTTCTGCATCAGCATGTGCCCTGGGGAACTTGGAAAAGGCATTCATGAAGGACCCTGGTAGAAGAATTTCTTCTCTTTGGTCTCATGTGAATGTCAGAAAAGTGACCATGGCCCAAAATGGCCTTAAAAAGAAACACACACACACACACACACACACACACACACACACACAAGAATGACATAGGTCTATTCTATTACTCTCTAATTTCTGCCCTTGAAGAGGACAGCAGTGACCCTGATGCCACAGCCAACGTCAGGAGAAGAGGGAGGCTTGGGCAATGATGCCTACGCCTTCAGAACTCCAGGAGGGAGAGAAGGTCCTCCTCTCCATCCTGTCCTTCCCCCAGCCTGAGCATCCTCACCTGGACCAAGTACTCCTGGCTCTGAAGACACAAGAGCCTGGTCTTTAGTAGCCAGACTCCTAGATGCAGGACGCCTTCCAGAAGGGAACACTCTGCTTTCTCTCAGCAGTTTTCAGACTTTCTCCTTTTATGTTACTCCTTTAGTTTTACTTTTCTTTGGAAACCCATGCAGTTGTTGTCAGGAAGTTTTCCTCTGACTTAGAGCAGTTAGGAGCCAGAATGGGTGGAGAGAGTGGCTTCCAGGCATGGCTTTTATCTGACCTTTCATCTAGTTAGACAGCAGCAGTTTAAGGATCCAAGTGGCCCCCGGGCAGTTTCTCACAGTGAAGAGTCACTTAGGGACAGGAGTCAGGCTGAGATAGTAAAAAAGGCAGCACACCTGCTACCAGAGGTTCTCAACCTGTGGGTCGCGACCCCTTTGGCGATCGAAGGACCCTTTCACAGGGGTCGCCTAAGACCATCCTGCATATCAGATATTTACATTACGATTCATAACAGTAGAAACATTACAGTTATGAAGTAGCAACGAAAATAATTTTATGGTTGGGTCACAACATGAGGAACTGTACTTAAAGGGCCAGAAGGTTGAGAACCATTGTTAGACTGACATAACTTAGCACCTGTCAAGACCCAGGGTCCAAGGTCCATACTGCCTGTTACAGCAGGCCTGGGTATTCAAAAGCCTTTTCTCATCTAGGAACTGCAGGGAATGAGCATTCCTCCTCTTTGAGAAAAGGAATTAAGTCAGACTGAAGTTGAAAATCCTTTACAATGGAAATTATTGGACTTAAAGGTAGTTTATTTAGGTAATGTGTTATATAAATCCATTTTCTGTTGATAATGAGTTGAAGGCTCACAATAGCCAGGTTCCATGGAGCTACAAAGCATTTCAATTTTCTCACTCATCAGGCTGGCTGTGGACAGAAATCAGCATTTGTTCTCCATCATGTTACAATTTTTCCATTTTACTTTCTGTTCCATGTAAGCAGACTCCCTTCCACCAAATTGTTTTAATTACTTGTGGAAATTTGCACATTTTTGTGTCTGCAAGGCAACAAGGAATGTGGGACACATCTTATGATGGGGATCTGCTGAGCACAGACCTAGGGTGTCTGTCAGGAAGAAGAGACCCTGTGGGTATATGAAAGTCTGCAATCTGGGGGCCATTCAATACTCTCCCCCTGTGGATCCCAACCTGTCATAGTAAAATAGTGACACCAC